TGCTCTGTCTCCCTTGCAAGCTGGGGTTAAGAAGAAGACAAAAGCGAAGAACAAGACAATGGAGAGATCGAGGCAATCGTTAAAGATAAGGGTCGGTCTAGCTCTGTTGGTCAGGCGCCGTGATTGTTGAAATTGTGTGCCAGACACGACAATCAAAGAAGACAATTGGGAGAGAGAGAAACTATAACAGAGGAGAGAGAGAAATATGCATATTATGTATATGTATACCGTATGTATATATTGCGTATATATGTACGTCGTATATTGTATATATGTATGTACATCTATATGTTATGTATATGTATATGTACATATGCATATGTCTGTATGTATGTGTGTATTTGTATGTATGTCTGAATATGTATAGGTATCTCTATGTATTTGTATTTGTATATGTATATGTATATGTATCTGTATATACATATGCATGTATATTTTGTATGTATATGTATATGTCTGTATATATTTTCTGTGTAGTATACTAATGTATGTTGTATATATACTGATGTATTTGTGCATCACTTAAATACGGTTAAAACCTTCCCCCTTTCCGTATGAGATACTCTTAGGTATGTCTGTTGGTTACACCACCTTTTCTCCTTTCACGTGAAATGTGTTAGGCTTTGAAGCTTACTCAGTTAAAACCTTCCCCCTTCTCCGTATGACATACAGTTAGGTATGCTTGTTGGTTACACTACATTTTCTCCTTTCATGTGAAACGTGTCAGGATTTCAAGTTTACTCGGTTAAAACTTTCCTCCTCTCCGTATGAGATATAGTCAAGAACGCATGTTGGTTACACCACCTCATCTCCTTTCACATGAAACGTGTTAGGAAGTTTACTCAGTTAAAACATTCTCTATTTTCGTATGAAATACGATTAGGTACGCCTGTTGGTTACATCACCTTTCCTCATTTCTCTTGAAACGTGTTAAGATTTCAAGTTTATTCGGTTAAAACCTTCTCCCTCTCCTTACGAGATACGGTTAGGTATGTCTATTAGTTACACCACATTTCCTCCTTTTGCGTGAAATGTGTTAGGATTTGATAACTTTTTTCATAGGAACATATCTTGTATAAGTCTTCCAAATAAGACTTATAAATAATTTACCCTAAATATTTTTCCTGTTCACTCGTCTATTTTTAACTGAAAATAATTAAGATTGGATTTTCATTATCTTTTGTTGGATTCAATTTATGATTTGTTAAAAGCGGATATAATTATGTTTTGATGGATTCAAAGAATGTTTTGATTTTAAACTTTTGTTTGGCGAAAGAAAAATATACTTTATGAAATAAATAAAAAAATAATTTTCATAATTATATCATCCGCAATAAAAGAGTTTGATTACCAATTTATTTTGAAAAAAAAAATTGAAGAATTAATTAATATGAATACGATGTATGTGATGGATTCCACTGCCCTAGTATTTTATTTATTTGATTAAATTCTTTTTAGTATTTACAATTTTTTATATTTTTTTATTCTATTAAAAATCAAGAATTTGTTCAACTAGATTAAGTCATTTATTTTAAGATTAATTGATTATTTTTAACCATCAAATCCGTGGGAGTTCGACCTTGTTCTAGCCCTGTTTATACTCTAATTTCAATTGTTTACTAAGTAATAGCAATACTAAATTTGTCTTTAATATTTTAATTTTTTTTGACTAGATTAAAATTTATTTTATTTTTTAAATATTAAATAAATTTATTTTTTTGAAATTAAATAAATGAAACATTAATAAAAATTTATGTTATTTTTAAAATAAAATTTAAATAAATTTATTTTAAAATTAAAATAAAATTTAAATAAATTTATTTTAAAAATTAATAAATATTAATAATGAAATTAAATAAAAAATCAATAAAAATGAAACAATGAAATTAAATAAAATATCAATTAAATAAAATACAAAGAAAAATTTACAATAAAACACCAATAAAACATCTACCAAAATCTATTTAAAAAATTAAATAAATAGGCATCAATACAAATTAAATAAATTTATTTTATTTTATTTTATTTTTTAATTGAGATTTCTATATATTTTATTTTATTTTATTTTACTAAATACAATAGATAATAAAATTAAATACTTGGAGGGCAAATTTGTCATTTTATAACTTAATCCCATGGGATTCCAATCCCACCATTTTTATCCCACACCTCCCTAAAACACAATAGTCGAACATATATGGGATTCATAGTTTGGTGGGACTTCTAATCCGACCTAAAAATTCTCAACTAAATAATGAACTCCATAGTAGATTAGATATGGAGTCCAATCCCCCCCCTCCCCTTGCCATTCCCTCCAAACAAACACCACCCGACATTAGTGCATCATGATGGAAGAGTTGAGAGAGAGTGAAGACAAATGATAACAGATAGTAGGCAAATGGCTGAAGGTAGCGGGGGAGATGGAGAAATGGGGAAGTAGTGGTGAGTGGCGAGGGAGATGGACTAGGGGAGAAGGAAAGGTTGTGGGAGGTGGTTGGTGGAGGAAGGGCTAGAGTTAGGGATTTTTGGATTAGGTTTTTACATTGATTTGGGAAAGAAAAAGAAGTTAGGGGTATGTTTATCATTTGGCATTGTATTTTGATTTAGACTTATTTATTTATCTTTTAATGTCAACTCTCAACTTAAGTGCGTGTGGCACAAATTTTGTCAATTTTGACAAAATTAGTAACAATAGAGATGTAAAACGCAAAATGTGACTAGGTATTTTTTAAACATTGGGGGAGGTGAAGTGTTTTGAGCTCATATAATAAGGAGGTTAAAATAAAATTTTCAAATATATATTAATGTTTAAACAAAGATAAACATACGAAGAGTAGGTGTGAGTGTCGAAACCTCTAAGTAGAAAAAAATTCACAATGTTAATTTTTTTTTTTGAAATAATTAAATAAATATTTTAAAATTGGTTCATGGTTGGATTAGGAAAGAAATTGTTAGTTTAATTTGTGAAAATTTTATATGAATAAAAAACTTAATTAGATAATAAATAAGTAAATGAAGTGAGCCAAATTTGGTATTTAAAAAATATAAAACTATATTGAATGGCACATAAGTAGGCAAACTTATTATCTTTCTATTATCTTGAGTACTTACAGGTGTAACCATTAAGTAGGAGAAAACAAATACTAGGTGTAACCGTTATTTTTTAATATTAGAGCTCATTGAGGCTTTCATAATTTACTTTTTGAATTTTTTTAATGGAATTGTTTCAGACCCCACTCGGATGACCCCCAAGTGCGGGCCCGCAATCCACCCTGAAAATGCAAAGTTGTTATTGTTAAAATTTGAAATTTAGGTGTGTATAATGGTTGTGGAAGATGTGTACAAATTGATGTGAGGCTTACGATTCGGATGCTTGCTGAGGACAGACGTCTACTAATATGATTGGTTGTGATAGATCTTGGCTTGATAACTTGGTCCATAGTGGTGATGATGGTCCAATAATGTGCACCACTGCCTCGATGTAGTCCCTCTGTCATGGAGGAAAGAATGAAATTTCATATTAGGCACAAAGCAACATAGTGCATACGTCCAAGTTCCAATATTACACATTGTGTGTGTTTGTTTGGACGGACTGGATAAGGGGAGATTGAAATCCACCGGACTGTTAGTCTTAGGATACATTGTCTTCAGACTATTTGGTTGGACTGGAGTTGTATTCCATGTTTGTTTAATCATGAGATTAAATGTCAAGAAATGACTATTTGGTTGGATAGCATATAAATCATATATTTGTTTGGGATATTATGAAGAAGGATAAATGTTCAAATGACTATTTTACCCTTTTCAATTATTTGCTAAATAATAGTAATATTAAAAATATCTTTAATATTTTAATTATTTTTAGCTAGATTAAATAAAATTTTATTTTATTTTATTTTTTACACAATTAAATAAATTTATTTTTTAAAAATAAAATAAATAAAATATCAATAAAAATATATGTTATTTTTTTAATTAAAATTTTAAATAAATTTATTTTTAAAACTAATAATAATTAAACAATGAAATTAAATAAAACATCTATTAAAATTTAAATAATGAAATTAAATAAATTATAAACAAAATTTTAAAATAAAACATCAATAAAATATCTATAAAACATTATTTTAAAATATTAAATAAATAAAACATCAATAAAAAGTTAAAAAAAATTATTTTATTTTTAAATTGAGACATTTAAATTTTATTGAATTTTATTAAATATAATACATAATTAAATAGTAGAGGGTCAAAATGGTCATTTTATCACCTAATCCCATATCCCCCTTATCCCCTATTTGTGTCCCATCTCCGATGGAACACAATAGTCCAACACATTTGGGACTAATAGTCCGGAGCAAAATTGGAAAGGCAAATAACGGATATAAAATCTATTCCACCCTTCAATCCCTCCAACACAAACAACATTAAAGAGTGTTTGGTTGAAAACATGAGTAAGGAAATTAATCAGTGTGTTTGGTTTGAGTTTTCTAAAATTAATTTTTTTAAAATTGATTTTTTTGGCATTCGTATTTTTTAATTTTTAGTGAATATTTTTTAAATTTTAAACATTTTTTAAAATTTTTTTATATGCACCTTACTTACATATATCTAAAAAGTAAAAAATTTGTGAAAAAATATTTTAAAAAATTAATAAATACATAAAAATACAAAAAAAATGTACTGAATTCTTGTATTAAATATTTTTGTTTTTTTCTTTAAAATTTTTCACCAAACAAGTTGTTTGATTTTTTTTTTTTTTTTTTGAGAAAATATATTTTAAAAAGTCAACCAAAGAGCCTTGCGTGATCTTTTGCTTCTTAAACTAGGCTAGCGTGTATGATTGACCAAATCAAATAGTGCCTGCAGGTATGAAGCCAATGTGTTTCACAAACAACTTAGTTTTTGTATCTATGTCAACTTAATGATTACCAATGCATTTATATATATATATATATATAAACATCGACCTTGAAATCGTCAGTTGAGTGTTGGGGGGAAGGAACATAAGTTTGTGATTGTGGAGGTAGCCATGGTAGCCTTCCTTTTAACTAGTCTGTGCGTTTTCTTCCCTTTAGCTATATTCATAATAAAGTTCCTGCACAAGGTATGGTGGACTCCGATCCGGGTACAATATATGATGGGTTTGCAGGGAATCAAAGGCCCTTCTTATAGCTTCCTTCATGGAAGCACCAAGCAGATCATGAACATGAGAAAGGAATCCTTCGCCACTGCAATGGACTTATCACATCATATATTCCCAAGAATTATGCCTCACATTGATGCCTGGATCCAGCTATATGGTAAAAGTTCTGTTAGTATTTTCCCTCACATACCTTTCTTTTTTCTTTTTATCTTCGATAAAGAAGTATAGGAGGGGGAGACCAACGCTACTGGACTTAACCATAAGAGTCCCGGCTAGCTTTAGAGCTTCGACAAGTTATAATATCTTTGGTAATACTTATCAATAATCAAGTTCGTTACTTTTATTTTAATTTTGGTTATATTTGGAGCAGGTGAAAATTATCTTCAATGGCGTGGTCCTCAACCTCAATTAGTTGTCACTGAAACTCAGCTGATTAAGGAGATATTGAACAACAAAGATGGAGCCTTTGTTAAAACGAAGCCTAGTAGTTACGGTAAGAAGCTAATTGGAGATGGGATTGTAGTAACTCGAGGTGAAAAATGGTCCAAGTTACGTAAAATCTCCAACTATGCTTTCCATGCGGAGAACTTGAAGGTAATTCTTCTTTTTACATCATCGAATTTTCTGTTCGTGAAGGATGATTAGTTATGAGGTATGCTGTAGATATTGTACCAACAATTTCAGAGAAGGGCTCGTGTGTGTGCAGGAAATGGTCCCAGCAATGACAGCAAGTGTGGAAACCATGCTAGAAAGATGGAGACATCGTGAAGGAAAGGCAATTGAAGTATACGAAGAGTTCAAGTTGCTAACATCAGAAATTATTTCACGAACAGCTTTTGGAAGTAGTTATTTGGAAGGGAAGAATATATTTGATATGTTGATTAAGTTGAGCACAATCATATCAAGGAATGAATTCAAGATTCGCTTTCCTGGCATCGGGTACACTCCTCTTCTTGAATTTCAATCCTCTCTATTTAGTAGGATTAATAAGTTAAGGCTCAAAGCATAAGAAAGCAGGAGAGTATCAAGAGTCCTAACTAGTTTACATGATCTAGGATCCTTGGGGTTCCCCTAGTAGCATTTACTTGCACTATAATATATAAGAGTTTTAGTTACCGAACTTTTTTGTTTTGAAAAGTGAAAATTTTGGTGAAAAAAAACTTTAGAAGACAAATTATTGTCATCATGAGAGTCGTCACTAACGCTTCATTTATTTTGGCAGAATAGATTTTCTACAAAACAAATTTCAAAAAACATTTTCTATAGAAAACTCTTTCGGAAAATGCTTTCCACATAAAAACTTTTTTTAATGTTTGGTTGCGTTCTTGAAATTAATGTACTAGTTGTTACATTAGTGGTGGTGGTAGCGGTGACAGTAAGGTGGAGGTAAAAGTGGAGGTGTTGGAGATAGTGGTGGTGGTAGTGATGCAGCGGTGGTGGCGGCAGTGGCAGTAATAGTGTGGTGGTAGTAATGTGGTAGAGATGGTAGTGGTAGCGGCTATGGGACAATGGAGGTTGTGGCGGTGACTATACTGATGGTGGTGGAGGTAATGGTAATATTGGTAATGTGGTGGTAATAATAAAATTTAAGTTTGGAAAACGTTTTTTGTCTTTTAAAAGTGAAAAATATTTTATATCCAAATATGATTATTTTTCCATTGATCATAGAAAATATTTTCCGTTGACTTTTGTTTTTTATTGTACCATACAACAAAAAATGCGGAAAATATTTTTCTGGAAAACATTTTTGTCTAAACAAACGAAGCTTAAAAGCTCATCCCAAAAAGTTAAAAAAAAACTTCTGCAACAAAATTTTGAAAATGTCGCTAGTAAGTATACTTTTAGGAACAAAATACTTTAGTGTGAAAATGATTATATTTTTTTTCTTTCTAAAATTTTGGTCACAAAAGAACAATAATTCATCACTAAATGTCTAATTTCATCACTAAAAATATAAAAATGACACTGCTAGCAACTATAATATTTCATTCGTAAAAAGTCTGTTTCTAAGACCTTAATTTGTTGTAGTGGTGGCATCAAACATGTCTCTTTTACGTGCCAATTAATCAATTCCAAATTTGCTGAAAATTTGTCAAGTCAAATGATGACATTGAGTTGGTATCAAAAGTCCTAACTAGTTTACATGGTCTAGGATCTTTGGGGCACCCTTGCTAACAACTACTTGGCATCAGACATGCCAACTAATCAATTTCCAATTTGCAGGAAATTTGTGAAATCAAACGATGATACTGAGTCAGATAGAATAGAACAGTAAAGCTTGATTTTGGCGGTATATTTGGAGTATTGATCAACATAGTAAAGCTTTTAATGGATGACACTTTCTATGTATAGCTTTGAATTTGCTAGCTTTACTAGATCACCGATTCTATAAAAAGTTTATGCAAAAAGAGAATACACACAGTATTGTATTTTAATTTATGTAGCACAATCCCTCATATGCAATTCATTATGCATGTAGAAAGAGAAAAAAATATATGATGTTTTGGAGCTATATTTTATACTAATAAAAACATATTTCTTGGGATAAACATTAACGTAAAGTACCAGGCTCCATTAATATGCACCAATCACATTGTTGCAACAAGCAGTTATAGCACTACGTAGCTTTGCTCACAACATGACATCTCCTGGAAAGGTAACTTTTTGAACAAAAAAATTAACTAAACAATGTGCAAAAATACACAAAAGAACGTGTACTTTGTTATTGCGTAAAAGTTTAGTAACACCTTAAAAACTAACAAATCTTATAAAGCTTTCTTACTTGAGTTGTCAAATGAATCCCATTTCAAAGAATAAATAGGTTACATATCATAGTCATGTCATGACCCCATGCCACTCCCAAATGGGATATTGTGGTAATCGGCCAGTAGTCATAGACTACCGAAGCTCTAACTAAACAAAACAAGTTAGACTCTTGTAATAATTGGGGTAAGATTTGTTTTAAATTGTGGAAGCCGTTTGCTTATCTGAAACATCCATCAAGGACAGTGCATGCCTGTATGAAGCAAAACGTGCAACATTTTTTAATACATTAATTAATTTTCTTACAAGAAGTATATATTTTCTACGAGGGCATCTTTTCCAAAGCTAAGTACAACTTCATGAGCATAGTAAATACTACTTCTTCTTCACTAACATATACATATAACTTCAAGAGGCAAAACCTTCCATTTCAAGTCTTTTTCACCTACATACACATAAGGGAAATGGGTGAGTTAAAACATAGTGAATAGTACTATAATAAAGTAGTAATATGAATGTATATTGGTATGTGTTTGAATGGTTACATTTAAGCCTTCAAGTGTGATAACCACACCTTGCACATCATTTTGCATTAATTTAATTATAGAAAATTTTAATTTTTTTTTGCATTGTGTGTGTGGTGTGATTCGTATGTGATTTATTTGATAGGGGATTTTGATTTGAATCAGGAATTGATAACCCATATGACTCAGAAATCTTTGAGTGATAAGTTTAATTGATTCAGTTTAGTGTGAAGAACCTAATAGGAACTCAATCAAAAATTTAAGTGAGATTAGTATTAATTAAGAATGATTAAATTGTGATGAATAGGTTAATTAAGTTAATTGGTAATCATGATTAAGTAGTGATTAATTAAGCTAATACATGATAAGAGCCTTAAATTAATCCTAATCTAATTCTATTCAATATATAAGTTAAGATGTGATAAGTTGAGTTCATTATATGCATTTTGCTGGAGAAAACTTAAGAGAACACTACAAAAAATTAAGGTTTTAGATATCAAAATTTAGGGGCAAAATTATTTTTTAGGGACTAAATATTGTTGTTGCGAAAAGTGTAGTTATTATATTTTTAGCAACAAAAATAAAATATTAGTGATGAACTATTATCCTTTTGGGACCAAATGTTTTATCTAAAGAAAAAAATCATTTTGAGACCAAATTATTTTGTCTCTGAAAGTCTATTTATTAGTGACATTTTTAAAATTTTGTCGCTAAAAGCCTTGTTTTCGACTTTTCGGGACGACCTTTGTGATAACCCTGCTCCGTATTATGCTAATTGATCTTTATTATGAATGTGATTATATGTTTGATATGATTTTGAGTGTCATTTATATGAATATATGTGGTTTTGAATTTCTATCTATTCACTATAGGAAAATATGTTTGATTCGCTGCTCTAGAATTTAAATTGAAGGCCTTATCGGCCACAGAAGCCAAAATTGACTACGCCATTGTGATTAGCATAATTTTTAGAGCCTACGGTGAAATTTGATTGAAAAATGATTCGGATCAGATTAAATAGATTAAATTGATGATAAAGTGCTCAATTAAATTAGTATTAATGAAATGCGATTAAGGGAGCTTTTATAAAGGGCCAATTTACACTCTCATTCATTTGTTTTTGAGCTCAAATTAGATTTTGCTCTCTAGAGAGAGAGAGAGAGAGAGAGAGAGAGAGAGGAAGCTCAAATTGAAGATTGAACTAAAGGCTTGAAAATTGGAGGTTAAACTCAAAGAATTAGCTAGAATTTGGGTGTTTGAAGCTCCTAGGTGAGTGGATTCTTAAGTTTGAGTTTATAATTCTGTAAATTCAAGGTTTAATTGTGATCAAGAACATAACTTGAATTGAATTTGTTGAATTTGGAGCTTATATGTACATGCATGTGTATAATTACCATGAATTTGCATAATCTAACATGTAGCATGTTAATTATGAGAAGTTGAGCATTTAATCATACATGCAAGCATGGTTTTGTTGAGTTTCATGGTTATGAGCATCATTGGTGATATTTGAAATGAAATTAGGGTCAAAGACTAACATGCATGTTGAATTGGTAGAGATATGAATTTTGGATGAAGTTTGAATGCATGGGTTTGATCATACAAAAGAAATGAGGATTTATTTGAGAATTAGATTGTGATTTTGAACAATTCAGTCCCATACACTTATATTCTCATGTGGTATAATGTATTTGCATGTTTTGAACCAAAATCATGAGTTTTGGACCTTTGGAGGTCGAGTTTGAGCTTTAAGAACAGTTCTGGAAAACTCAGAATCCGGCATGTCTGCTTGAGCGAGGGAGTCGCCGCTCGAGCGTGAAATGCTGGTTCCCAGCACTTTTGCTGACATGGATGTCCGCTCGAGCAGGGATATTCATGCTCGAGCGAGGAGCCATGTTGTGTGACTTTTAGCTTGAACGTCCGAATTCACGCTCGAGCATAAAAATGAGGCAACTAGTACTTTTGCAGACCCACGGGGTCCGCCTGAGCGGAGGAACCCACGCTCGAGCGGGGACCCCTGTTTTAGAAAATTTGTAAAGGTGTTCTGTGTTTCATTTTTTGTTCTCTTTCACTTCTAAGTGCTCTTGGGCATACATTGAGCATTATGAATGAATTAAAAGAATAAGAAAGAAGCCTTAGAGGGATGCATGAATTAAGAACGGATTGAATCAATTGTGACCCATATGTGTTGTGTAATGTGTAGGGTCGAGCTCTAGGGAAAATCCATCGGCAAAACACTATAAGTAATATCTTAATAAAGATATCTGAAGTATGTTATTTGTCCAATTGCTTGCTTCCATATAAGTCTTATAAGTTTGTTATATTGAATTGGGGACAAATATTTGTTATGCCATATGATTGGGCCAAAGGCAGTTGGATACAATTGACTGGGTCGAAGGCTATTTGACACACATGAATGATTGGGCCGAAGGCCGTTTGACATGAATGATTGGGCTGAAGGCCGTTTGACATGAATGATTGGGCTGAAGGCCGTTTGACACGAATGATTGAGCCGAAGGCTGTTTGACATGAACTATTGGGCCGAAGGCCGTCGGACATGAACGATTGGACCAAAGGCCGTCGGCTATGAACGATTAGGCCAAAGGCCGTCGGATACGAACGATTGGGCCAAAGGCCGTTAGACATGATGGATGGGCCAAAGGCTGTCGGGTATGAGTTAATTGGGCCCAAGGCCATTTGATACGATTAGAACTTTAGTTGATTGATACATTAAATAGAAACATGAATTGGGCCCAAGGCTGTCTGATATAACTGTTTCAAAGATTGTTCATGTATCTTCCTTATTCGATATTATTCATTGGACTTTCGGTCATGCTCATTCGTGTATATGTAGGCGAGCCAAGGGATGTCCAAACCCAGCATCGGTGAAATATGTGAGAAACAGTCAAGGTTTTGAAGAGTCAGCCCCAACGTCTCACGCACGAGACTTGTCTTCGCCTCTTTTGTTCTTCTGATATAGTTTTGTTATATTGGTGAAAACATCGGATTACTATTGTATATAAACTTTGGGTTTGACTGAATTAGACTTGAATGATCCTGTATGTATAGAACCTTGTGTTATTATTCCTTTGATGTGATTTATTAACATATATATATATATATATGGATTGTTATGGTGTGCCATGTAAGCACAACTCTACGGACAAAAGTTTTAAATTTGCTTCCGTTGGGCCCCTTTACTCTGATGAGATATGTCTTGTTTGGTTTGAGGCCGTAGGTAATCCCTTGATTACTGGCCGGTTATGTCCTTAACCCATAGGGCCGGGTTCGGATCATGACAACCTTTTAGCGACTATCCTCATGATGATATAAATTGGTCCCTAAATGTCTTTTGCAACAAAATTTTTACTTTTAAAGACCAAAATATTTGGTCTTTAAAACTCTTATTTGTTGTAGTGCAAGAGTGAGAGAGCTCAATTCTTGTGTTGGAAATTGAGAGTTTGTGAGGTAGAGTTCAAGACTTAGAAGACTAGGGAGAAGAAGAAGTGAAGAGAAGAGAGGAGACTCAAGAATTCAACAAGTTGAGGTAAATTTTTAGCTCAATTCATGTTAATAATTCACTTCACACTTGAATTCAAGAAGAGATTATGAACAATTGCATGTATTTATGAATGAATGAAAGAAAAAGATGATGAATTTGAGCTAGGATCATGAAATATGGAGTTAATTTGGAAATTTGATCATTTAGGGTTTGATTTCTGTTATCTTACATGAATTGAGTTCATTTTCACATGCATGAGAGTTCATAACTTGCAATTTTCAGAAACTTCATGAGTTGATACTTTCAATTCCATGTTTTCAAAACCAAAGAGGAGAAGAGTTGAAAAACATAGCATGCATGGAGTTTTGATTTAAGTTTTGGGAAATTGAAGAAGTTTTGAGCAAATGATTTGAAATTCATCATGTCTTTATGATTTCTAGTGTATTTACAAGTTTTTGGACAAGCCACGTAAGACCCCAAGTTTTG